ACAATGACCTTGCACTAGAAAGCCTTCAAGGGCTTCAGTTCCCACAAAACTTTCACCTGGGCAGTCCCACTGACTTAAGTGGAAGCAATACTGAGGAAGGGCTGGTGGGATTTCCAGTTGTCTGACCATTTGTCTGAGTTTTTATACAATGTAAATAGTGATTTCCACAACATCCTTCAAGGACAATAAATGCCCCCATGATACAGGTGGTGTAAGAAACAGCTGCAGATACGTTAAGCAGCTTTTCAGTGTGACCTGTGGTGTCTCCACCACAACTGGACAAAGAACCCAGATTTCTGTACTTTTGCTGTTTTACCTGTACAAGGAGAAAAAAGAAGTTGAGCCACATTACGCTTGACTGTTAACATGTAAAACTTTTCATGCATAGGGCTTCTATGTTAGGACTAGTTTTGTATGCACGCATGTATGTGTGCGAGAGAGAGATTTCACTTTGTCTGTTCTAACTAGATTTTCGTTTATTTAAAAGATCTCTGGCTCGATTACATCAAAGAAGAGCTAAGCCATCCCCAAGGCAAGCCAGAAAACTCTGGGAACATTCACTGGAGAGCTATGAAGATGTTGCAGGGAGAGCTAGTAGAAAACTTTGTTTCCAAATACACTTTGCTACAAACCGGACACTCATGAAAAATGTAGATTTTTTTTTTTCCCCCACGTTTCTGAGATGAACAACATATTGCAGAATTACTAGAGTTGTTTTGTTTGTTCAATTTTTTTTACAAGACTTTAAGAGTAAACACATTCCTGAACCACACTAACATGTACATACTTTATTTTCACATATATTGGAATTTCTTTTTGGTTGTAACCTACAGTTACTAAAAATGTTACCTGTCCCAGCAGCAAGGTACCAGTGAACGGGTCCAAATCATAATTACAAGAGGAGGAGAAACACTGGTAAACAGGTGCACCTTTCTATCAGAATGTTAATTACAAAGAACTTTGAAAGCAGATTTTGCTTACAGTCTTAAGCTGTTTTGCATTAAATAGTGGTCATCTGTCATATTTAAAACTTATAAAATTTCATATTAAAATACAAATTGGTGCAAAGAAACCTCGTTCCAGTAGAGACCTAACTTGGTATCTTGTCCTAATAGTGCAGTGTCTTAAGAAAAAAGATTCCAAAAGCAAAGAAGGGTTTGGTATTAGAGTCTCTTTAAGCCCAGCAGGTCTTAGCCTTTTTAGCCTCATGGCACCTCTCCATAACTCTTGGGACTTGCACAGCGCACAGTTAAGAATCACTGAGCTACAATCTAAATTCAGAAAAGAGGTGAGGGGAAAAGGTTAAGAGCCATTGATCTAGCTGGTGTCAGATGACAACATTGGGAGTGGATCTAGCCCTGCCATACCCTGCTTTTTCCACTGTCTGCCCCGCCCCTGCTCCTTCCAGTCTGTACTTGAGGGGGCAGGGGTAGCTCCCATCGCTGAAACTGCTTCTGTGGGGTCTTGCATGCCAGAAAATGTCCCCACGGCTCCTCTTACTGGGCCCAGGAGTGTGGGAGGAGCAGAGGGGACAGGACCAGCTATGAAGTATGGCTCTGGCCTCATGTCTGCCCTCTCACCCATAGCAGAGCGCTCTGCTGGCAGTGTGGGGGTATATGTAATGGTGCAGGAATACTGGACATTGATTAGTAATAAGACTATCTTAAGGACATCTTGCTGAGGGTTGGAAAATGTGCTGGCTTAGCATTGAATTTGCTCCTGTGGTGCGTGTGTTGTTTTTATTTAAACTTTGTTCTGGTGTGATTAGCTGCTTGCTGACTTCTGAAGGATTACTTGTGGGGATATACTGTTCTTTAGGACAGGTCTACTGGAAGTCATTTTAATCACTCCTTAGTTTAAATATAACTGATTTGGATTGTCAACAATTCTTTGCAATATTTCTTCCAACTCTGCTCTTAGGATATCATTTCAACTCCTATGAATTTCTTCAACACAATTCTGCTGTCAGTGCTTTTCTAGCAGCACTTTTCTTCTCTTAAAGCTTCTCTTTCCAGCACAAGTGTTGAAACATTGTGCAGTAATTGGTTTTCTTTGGTTACTGCAAGCACGCTAGAATGTAACGTTCGATGCGACTACAACATGATTAAAAGTAGAGCTACTAAAATTATCAAGATGTTATGATTTAAGATCGGGATGTAGGTTGTAGCCATACCCAAAGAGCCTTGCCTGTCTGTGATTTAAGATCAGCATTTTATTTCTTTCCTTTTGGATGATACAACAAAAAGGCTGCAAGAAGTAAATTTCCCCAACCAGTGATCCATTCCCATCAATGGCCTATAAAAGAAAATGATTTGCTTCTTGATACCATTCCCCTATACTAAAATGTTTCTTTCATTTTAGGCGATCTTATTACATCCAAAGTTACAGCCCATCTACTGGAATTCAATAAACCATGCTAGTATTTTAGCTGAAATTCCTTTATAAAATCTGAAGGCTGGTAGTAATTATATCATTACTTTTAATTGTGCTTCTGAACATTACAACAGACACTAACTATATACTAGCCAGCATTGCTACAGCATTTATTAAATCATTTTGCCCACAAAGTAAATAGCTACAAGTATTTGATCAGAATACTTTCAACTGGTCTAGCAAGGGGGAGAAACAATCTGGCTGCCTCCAGCAGATTCAGCAAGTCTCTCTCTCCTTAATTTCTCTTATTCCCTTTTCTTTCCAACTACATCATCTGCTTATGGGGTACCTGCTTTTCAGAAACTGATCAAAACTTAGCTAAAAGCTTTAACTGGGGTGTAGAAATATCAACTCAGGTGTGGAAATCACTTTCAGTGAAGCATTAGAGACACTATCCAGATGCTCACAAAGGCTTGATTCTGTTTTCTGAATCTGAGACATGTACATCTAACTATAACAACTCCAGGATGAACGAAACAAATTGGATTATTTTTGCCTAGTTCGTTGTGTTTTTACACATACAATATAGCAAATTAATGCACATCCCAATATATATTTTTTGGCTTCAATCTGAAATCGAACAATCTAGCTCTAGGCCAGTAGTCTCCAACCTTTTTAAGTACCAGATCACTTTTTGAATTGAAGTCCAACCTAGGATCTACTGTGTGCTGTGTGCCACCCCCCT